TGCTCGTATATTTCGAGCCCTAACCGCCAAAATAACGTAAGCGACACTTTTTTCAAAATTTTATTTTTGATGCAGTAATGCATCTAGATGCTCTAGGAATATTTCTGCATCAAAAAGAAATTTTTAAAAAAAATGTCGCTGACGTTGTTTTGACGGTTAGGGCTCGATTTATTTCTTCAAGAAAATTTACAGCAAAAGGAAAGTTCTTTTTCAAGCAACACAAATAATAAAAAATATTTCTTGTGATTTTTCTTGAGAGCCGGATTCTAAGCTTTAAGATACAGTTCGTATTTGAGGTTATTAGCTTTAGGGGGTGGGGGGTTTAACGAAAGCGTATAATTCATATTTTACAACACAAATAAATCGTTCGTGAAAATTAAGTATTTTGGCTAATATTCATCTTTGAGTGCACAAGGGTAAAATAGAGTTCTTTTCAGTATCCCCCCAGTCACATTCAAATGCTAGTTAGATAAAACTTAGAAATCGTTGGAATGGCCCCGCTTCTTTTATGTCTCCCACTAGAATTATGAACTTGTTTCAACCAGAAAATAAATTTTTTGTCTTTTTTTTTTTTTTTGCATCGAGCTTTTTTCGACATACCTTGAATTACTTTACCAGATATGTACACACTAAAGTATTATTAAATGCATATAAATTTAATTACTGTCTGTCGTTTTGTTACTTATGAAATAATTTTCACTTTGAATAAAAAATTACGATCCAAACCCATTTACTTATTATTTATTATATGGTAGGAGAGCTTCTCAAACCATATTGATGCAATTTTTTCATGTTAAGTTATTGAAAAATAATAAATATTTAAATTCCGGGACTGATCCCGGAATCCCGGAATTGAACCAACGACATTTTCCGAAAATCCCTGGAACGCAAAAATTGAAAAAATTAACATCCCTAGTATATATGTATGTACATATGTAGTAAGTGCACGCGTGTAAGCTTTGCCTCGCATTCATAATGCAGCAGCAGCAATACGCAAGTATATTCGCAAGAAGCTAAGGCATACAATAAATAGGTTTTGAAAATAATGGATTACATATAAGGTGCAATTTTCAAAATTTGTACGTACTTTGTTACTGACTTAAGTGGCTACTGGTCTGGATTCATATATCACGTTTTTGTGCATCTATATACATACTTGTATGGATCTACATACTGCGGCAGTGCTATTAAATTTACTCATACATTTTAATCTTCTCTTTCAGATGAAAGAATAAATTTGAATCAGATATTAGATTGATATTGTAACGACTGAAAAATATGTAT